AGCTCATGGAGCGATCATTGTGAATGGACTAACTACACTATCACAGTCTTCAAACTCCATTGCAAAAGTCTTACAGCCACAGCTTGCTAGAAAATTAACAGAGCTAAATATCTTATCACGACGCCTTTTGATAACATCAAATACTCCCAAACAACCTTTGTATAGGATAAAAGTAGGTAAATTCAGCTATCCCTCACAACTTCTTAAATAAGTTCTGTTCTGAAAGTGCTAAGGTTAAACATATCACTAAACAACAGTTTAGCCCCTATATTAACGTAGCATGTGTCAACCAGTGGTGGGATTCAAAAACTTTTTACTACTGGTTCTGTGGGTGTGGCTTGGTGGAGGTGACAGGGTGGGCATGGCAGGGGAAGGATACTGCAAACTCTCCATTCCAACCCCACTTCTGGGGGAAGATTACTGCAAAATCCCATTCCCTCCCCACCCCACTAACCTGCTTTCCAGCTCCGTTCTCCTGTGCAGGGCAACAAAAGAAGCTGGGACTCAGGAAGCAGAGAATAGATGGGGATGGAGCCAATCAGAGGTGGTATTTGCCAGTTTTCCGAACTACTCAAAATTTCTGCTACTGGTTGCCCAGAACTGGTCAGAACTGGTCAGAACCTGCTGAATACCACCTCTGGTATAAATTTATAATTTATAAATCACATTTTATGACCTAGATATGACCTAGAAGTAGACCTATATTTTTAAAAAGAGTTTTCATCTCAAAATTATATGGGGGACAGATATCTTGGCCCAACTTAGTTACTTGATCACTACATTCACACAATGCAGGTAATCCTTGCTTAATGACAATTGGGACCAGCAACCCCTGTTGAGGTAATTCCCCGTTAGGAGAATGAGCGCATACAGGGAGACGTATAGAGAGTAGTGTTGGAATAATACACACAGAGCACACAGATACACTGTACAGTAAATGTAGGTTTTTACTTCCAGAAAGGTTTAAGCAAAGTCCAAAATAAGCAATCCAAAGTCATTCACAAGTTAAATCAGTCAGTTTTCAATCCAGGGATAATTCAATAACAAAGTCCAGTGTCAAAAAACAGTTCAGTAACAAACTTACATCAAATCCAGGAATATCAGTCAATTAGGAAAAATGGAGCAACGGCAATACTTTCCAACAGAAGGAAACAAAGATACACTCACACTCTCTTCTGAGACTCAGACTAAGACAATCCAGGTTTCTGGCTCCATCTCATGGCTGTTTGAAAAACCACACCCAATTGCAGTTTTTGCAATCTCTTAAAGACGTAGTACTAAAATGTTTATCCTGGTTTATATATTTCTAACCCAAATACCTGTTAGGTGACTTATATTCCTAACAACCCCCATTCTTAAGTGACAGATTTGTTAAGTGAAGCATCATGTGACTAAGCTGCAATTAACATTGCTCTGGCTCTGATCATTAAGCAAATAATGTAATCTATGGTCATAAGGGAAGACATCCTATAACTGTGACTTGTGATTTTATCGCTAGCTTCTCCATTAACTCTGTTTCTCAGAAACCAGCTGTGAAGTGCAGAAATGATAACCATGTGACTAGGGTAATCCTAACTGCAAGGACCAGTTGCAAATTTATTTTTCAGTGCTGTCGTAATGTAGAAGAGTCACTGAACAGGACAGTTGTTAAGCAAGGACTACGGCATGCTAAACCCGATTGCTAATTAATGGCTTACTGAATGGTTGAATTCACTTGCTAACAAGCTGAACAACTTGCTAAATCACTTGAAAGTGATTCCCAGAGAATCAGTAAACTGCATTGTCTTAGTCAGATAAAACTCGAAGTCTATTTTCTCCTAGCTCCATCCATCCTTTTTTCTCTACCAGGAAGAAGAAAAAAAACAGATGAAAGAGCTGCCCCTTGTCCTTTAATTAGTAATAGCAGGAATTCAATATGGAAGCTCCTTTGCTATAAAAGACAGCTTCATATGTTGTCTAACAGTTTGTTACACTATTAAGGAACAATAGCTTAATTCTTCTACTGAAAACTGTGGGATTTTAAATTGAAGTGATCACACCCACTATATTATAAAGTGAATGATTTTTTTTTCTGTCTGTTTTCTCTCTTCAGGACAAGAAAGTCTTCTTTTATGATATCATTTCCTACCCGGCCAAAGCTGCCCTTACCAGCTTAATGTGTGCTTCTTATGCAGCATTAATTTTTCTGGTGGGTTAATAAACAACTGTTACTCCAGCTTTTCTCATACAAAATACCATCTTATTCTCAGCAAGTAAACTCATAATCAATCATCATAGAATCTTACCAATAGATCTCATATCTCATTTACCTATGAGAAAAAAATGAATTCAAACATCACATTAAGCCACAAAATGGTTTGGTTATAACTTAGATCTGTTTAGTGAGCTGTGAATAGTATGACTTAATGTATTTGGCAAATACAACCAACTATAACTATCCCACATGCCATGATTATGCTACAAACCATGATTACAAATGACTTGGCTTGATGAAGGAAATGTCAGGAACAAAGTATCAGGGCCATACATTAATTTGAAGTTCAGAAGATTTATTTCTCAAACCTATAAATGAGAATCTAGTCAACTAGAGTTCAACACTAAATTGGTACCAGATAAGCGTTAACAGATTCAAGAGGGATTGGATTTAGACCTTTGTGGGAATATAACAACTTTAAAAAATTTACATTCTTTTTACGATTCCTTTTACATATAATAGGACCAGCTTTGACTTTTCAGCCTATCTCCACATTTTTATTAAATACAGAAATACATGAACATGGTTCTCATTTCCATTCAAAAAACTTGCTTAACACTGTCCCCAGCTCTATCTTCTCTTCTACAAGAACCAAGCCAATATACTTGTAGCTTTTATGTTTTACCCTAATATATGAATAAAAGTTAGAGCAGTATGTCTTAAGAAATGTTAAGATACAGCCCAAACTTCTTTCAATGTTCTGATTGAAGTCATAAATTTTAATTTCATTTTAATTTTTCATATTATATTATTACATTTATACTCTGCTCCATGTGGGTTATAAAGGCAACTTATAAAATATAAAATGTGGCAGCAAATTTTTAATTAAAATTAAATCAATTAAAATCAACAGTTAAAACTTGGGTGAAAAAAATTTCATTGATTTAACACTGGAACCGACCGAGTATAGAACTGTTTGCAGATTATTATTACTAACTTATTTTACAGTCATGAAAACCACACGAAACCACGAACATTAATTTGAGTTGTATAATAGATCAACTTTCTATCAACAATTACGCTGAAGGTAGCTAACATTAGAATAAAACAAATGACAGCACTACAGCCTAAACTAAGTTGTCTCATCTGATCTAGAATCTCAGCTAGTTCTGCATTTGACTGTTCCCCTAGTACAGTATATAAATTTACTTGTTGGTTCTACAAAGAAGTGAGAGGCTGTAACAACCAACAAAAATAAGAATGGTTCCATCTATTCAATTTTTCATTCCTCCTCCACCTTTCAGGTTTAAAGAAGGAAAAAAGAAGATGGGGGAGGTGAAGCCACCATTATCCCCATCAATAATGCCTCCAAACTTGATCAGGCCACTGCATTTTTCAAATGCATTTTTGAGTTGTGAATGGGAAAAAAAAGGAAGTGACAGCCAAACAGTCACCACAGATGATGGTAATTTGATATAGGTCAAAAAAAGTCAAGGTGGCAGCCACAATCACATAATTAAAGGCTAGCCTTTTTCAAGATGTGCATCACCCATTTTGATGCTTTGTGTCTGCATTCCTGGTTGTTCAGGGGGAAGAGTTTCAGTTCAGTTCTATGGTACCCGATCACCAGACTAGATACAGATGTCAACCTCCCCTGCTTATTTCTGTCATAGCTTTACCTTTCCAGTGATTTATTATTTTGCTGTAATTAATGCCCAGATTCACCTTATGGGGGAGATGAGCAGCATACAAATTTAATAAATGAAATTAATACAGTCCAACCAGTACTAAAGCTACAGGGAAACACACTCTCCTTAAATTAGGAAAAATGTACTATGTCAGATTCTCTAAAGTTAACTAAACAAAAGTATCTCTTTCTATGTGAACAGGCAGTCTCCATTAACAAATTGCTGGCAAAAATAAAAGGCATCGTTCAAACAGAAGACACTTCTAGGGAAAGCAGCAGTGAAGATGTGGATGAAAATGGATTTCCCAAAATCCCCGAAGCAACTTCCCCCCTTCAACAAGACTCTTCAATGTTTCCTATTAAAGCATCACAAAATAGTGGAAGCATCCATACTCTACTTGCAGCAATGGATCAAGAAAACGAACAATAATTATTCTTTTTACGTAGAATAGACCCAGCCTTGACTTTTCACCCTATATCCACACTGCTTTATTAAATACACAAATATATGAACATGGTTCTCATTTTCCATTCAAGAAATGCCAAGTTTTTATATGCTTTGAGGCTGTGCAAAGTATACGGAAGATACATTTTGCAAAGGCAGAAATCCAAACGAAGCACCTTTTTCCAGGCTGATAATAAAGCCAATGTAACTTCTGTAAGCCCTGGCATGACTGCTTAAGAAGCTGCCCAATGGAGGAAAAAAACTGATTTATGAATAAAGGACCTGTCAGGTGTCCCGTAAAAGTTTCAGGAAGCTTTCATTTCAAACAGAGAAAAGTGTTATTATTAAATAAAAAGGTACGTTAAAAATTGAAAAAAGTAATCACATTACTTGGGCAAGGAAAATTGATTTTAAAATATTTTTAGAACATCCATGGATTGGTCAGAAAACAAAAACCCAATTAAAGTTAAAAAATGAAGAAGGAATAATTATAACAAGCGGATCATTAGAAAACCATTTGGGAAATGCTGATGTTTCTTTTAGTTGACCCTTGTCCAGAAAGCTCGTAATTTCATAGCTTTCTTTGTCTCTCAACTCTATTACTACACATATACATTTTTCTCACACTCGTTTTTTGAAAACTATACTTTAAAAAAAAGAATTCCATAACTTACAATTCCAAAGAGAAGGCATTTGGTTCGGTTTGGATTCTCCCCCTTTAGAAACCTTTTTTGCCAGACAACTAACAACATACTGTGTGGAAGGCATGTTGCTCTGAAAAAGCCCCTCCTACACAACCGTGTGTGCCAAGTTGTTCCAAAGCTGTGTAAAGAGTTCTTTGTTACTCACAACCTTTTTAATGGACAAATTCCGACCATTAGAAGAAAAGGGCTCTGTTTGCAGCAAGAGGAGAAAGAGAAGTCTTGTTTGCAAAAATCCCAGTCCTGATTAAGCGTTACAGATACCATGTGACAAGCACCTTTAACCAGGCCCATGAGCTCCATTTCCTACAGGGTCTGTTCCCAAATCCACCAGATGTTTACAGTGCTGGTGCCACAGTCAACTCCTCTACCCAGCCTGGCCTGGATTTTAACACATGTAAACAAGTAGTTGGTTAGAAAGAAAATAGGGCATAGTACATACATCAACCAGAAATCCTTACAAAAAGGCTCCAATATGCTCCCAGTGAACGGTTTAGTGGAAAGTTTGTACTGTAAATAGTTTGTTTCATCTTAATAGTGTATACAGATCTAGCACTTAAGCTCAAAGTAAAGCATCTGTTTACTTTGGTGTACATAACACATTTAAGAGGGCATCAGGGTGACAATAATAGCTCACCTGAAGCTTAAAAATTACAATGGATTCTTGTTGTTAGTTGCAAAGTCGTGTCCAACCCATCACAAAATGCTGCAGATGGTGGACAAAAACCTTTTTCACTGAGGGAGTTTTACTAAGCGAATGTATGTAAAAGTCACAGAATGACTTTTAGATAACAAGACCAGAATTTATACAGGTAGTTCTCGACTTGCCACAGTTCATTTAGTGACTGTGCAAAGTTACAACGGCACTGAAAAAAGTGATTTATGACCATTTTTGACACTAATGACCATTGCAACATCCCTATGGTCGCATGATTTATAGTAATTCAGATGTTTTTGACGGTTGCAGAGTCCCGGGGTCATAAGGTCATTTTTTGCGACCTTCTAACAAGCAAAATCATTGGGGAAGCCAGATTCACTTAACAACTGTGTTACTAACCTCACAAGTGCAGTGATTCATTTAACAACTGTGACAAAAAGCTTGTAAAATGGGGCAAAACTCACTTTAAAAATATCTCACTTAGCAACAGAAATGTTGAGCTCAACTGTAGCTGTAAGAGTTGTACCTATATTCAACAGTTTTTTCACTCAAGTTCCTAGGAAGCAAAATGTTATTCAAAAATCTTATTTTTCTGCCATTTTTTCTGTTTTGTATTTTTCAGCATAGTAGTCAGACTCTTTGTACTCCATTAAATCTGAAAGAGTCACATAAACATTTCCGTTGTCCACAGTGACTCTGTGAGTTCTTTGTTTTGCTCCTTTTGATTTCCACTTGGGTACTGCAGATGGTTCTTTGGGATTTATTGCTTGATACAATCCTTCACCTGTATTCAGAGTTATTTTATATTTATGCCAAGGACAAATAATGCATGGTTGTCCATTGATGTCCTACAGACACAAGGGAAGAAGAAAAATGTTTTTCATAAACATTAGAAATAGACACATATATTGTCTACCTACAAATATTCTCTGATCATTTTTAGTTAATTGTATTTGCAATGTTCCCACCCTTTGATGCTTTCATTTATATGAAATTATTTGTTACCGCATTAGCTATCGTGTTAAGTGGTATTGTGTTTACCTACCTCTATTTCACCAAGATGTAAGGGACCGCCTGCATCTATTAAAAGATAAAAAATATATTAAACCAGAGCTATTAGTTATGGTGGTTGTACCTTACTTCTAGTTTCAGAAATATTACAGCTCTGAGCACAAATGGCTGGGGAACATAGATAGGTGTGGGATATAGCATGCATTCCCTGCTTACAAGCTTCCCAACTGCCCCTCACTGTCCAAGAAGTATACAGGACTAAATAATATGTGCATTAACCCAGCAAGGGATTTGTTTTGTTCTTCCTAAGTGTAGCTACTTTAATAGTTCTATAAGTCTCAATGCATATCATTTTTAAGTTCTTACGGTAACAGCGGCAATCCAGAGCATAAAAGTGTCCACCATGGTAGAAAATAACAACTTGTCTCTCGTGGACAGTGGCTGTTGTTCTCTGAAGCCTTTTAATATCATCTTCTCTACCAACATAAACTGGATTAGACACTTTCCTTTTAGATGGTTTGACTATACTGCTTTCATTAATATCCTGCAAGAAAAAGAATTACATTAAAAATTAACACGAACATAAAAACAATTGGCCTAAGGGAAAAGTCCAACAGTGCACTATAAGAAATCTGCTCTCTTCTTCCTCATAAGGTCTTCCAGTTCTTGCTGAAAATCATTTTGGAGGGTCTCCCAACATATTGTAGCAGGTTTTGAGAAAGCTTTTTGGGCTACAGGGAAGCAGGGGAGGACTTTCCTATCTATTAAGATGTTCCCTTGCAAAATAAATGGGATTGTAAGCCATCATCACTGAATTTACTTTAAAGCAGATTTGTAAACATGTGATCCACCAGTCCTTTTAGATGGAATCAGAAGGGTGACCCAAGTTTCCTTCCCATGTGAAATCTGCAAAACAAACAAACCCAAAGGAATCAAGTCTTTGGCAGTCAGTCACAGTGGTCAGCTATCTTTAGCTAAAAAGCAGAGGTGATCCAAATTCTGCGGATAAGATTTATGTGTCCATAAATCTATCGTGAAACAGAACTGAAAGAAAATAAAACAAGCATTATTCATCCAAGAGTGATGGTGGTTAATGAAATAAAATTGTTTTAAGGTATCTCACTCTGATCCATATGGTGAGTCCCTGAATGTAATTAACGTATTGAACCAGTTCAGTGCCAACATGTAGTCATCTAAAGAATTCTCAAAGGAGGAAAATATATTGAATGTCCCTTTGCACCAAATGAGCAAAGTTAGCATAAAATCCACCCAGAATCAGTCCCCACTAACCAAAGATCTTCTGCCAGAAACTTCAACGCTCACCAGCACATATAACCCAGTTTCTATGAAACAGTGTTGCTAGGGTGCACCTCAATAGGCAGAGAGAAACCAAAGTGATCAACTGCAAGGAAGAATGCTGGAGAAAGACAGGCTTAATGTAGCCAGCTAACTGTGGAACCAGACCAGATATAATGGGCATCAACTCAGAAACAACAGGGTATTGATAGCCTCCTGCATAAAGTTCTCCACCTGAGAGTAATTCAAGGCCCTAACAATGTATTATTTCACAAGCAGTGTTGAGAGGATACTGAAGGAATTACAAAAGGCCCCATTAAAAATAAATTGTTGAAAACACTGTTTTGTGGACTTCAGGAATGGGCTTAGCCCAGCCATCAATAAATGCTAATCAACATTTGTGGCATTTGAAGCAAAAATAGGTTTATTAAGAAATATATCAAGATAAAAGCCTCACTTATCTAAATTACACATTCATGACAGGGAAATAGACATAGTGGATGCATAGTTCTTTTTGTCTTTTAGTACAGAAACTCAATTAGCCAGATCAAGTTAATATAGAAGATAATTTGACAGTTACCAGCAAAAACAAAAACAAACCTCCTGGACTATCTGAGCTGGGGTTTTTTTACCAGCAAGCAAAGATGTGCTTTTGTGGCATCTGAACATGTGTAGCGACATCTCTACTCAAGCTCCATTGTATAATAGTGTCAAATCCAAGCGTGTGAACTTAAAGGAAGGGGCCTGTACAACGTTACTATGGAGTGGAGTTTGCCATAACTTATCCTGCTTTCCTGCAGATAATCCTAAAAGCTGTATTCCAAACTGAAAAAGATTAATTTGTAGGTGGCTGATAGCCCTCTTAAATACTCCTCTATTTCAGTCAATCTATGTTAAATAGTTACTAATAGGATTGGGTAAGACATGGCTTGCAAATGATGTTATCTGAGTAGATTTAACAAAGCCAAACTGTATTATGGCTTTATACATGTGTGTAAACTCTGTTCTTCAGAAAATACCTCCTATAGGAAAAGAACTTCAAAGTTGAAAAGGACTATTTTTTTTTCTTATGGAGAAACACATGAAAGGTTTACATTTTATTAGCAAACAGAAGAAGGGAGAAGCGGTGCCTTATCCAGCAAAGAAAAAACTGAAAAGAAGCTGGGGTTAGGTGGGAAAGTGAAGATTTATATTAGAAAGAACAGACTAAGAACTGTAAGCAGTTTACATATTTTGTTATACCATATAAACAATATACGTAGTCTTCGACTTACAAGCACAATGGAGCCCAAAATTTCTTTTGCTAAGTGAGTTTTGCCACCATTTTATGATCTTTCTTGCCATAGTTCTTAATGGAATCACTGCAGTTGATAAGTTACTTACCTGGTTGTTAAGTGAATCTGGCTTTCCCATTAACTTTGATTGTCAAAAGGTTGCAAAAGGGGATCACTTGACCTTGGGACACAGCAATGGTCATAGGTATGAACTAGTTGCCAAGCATCTGACTTTGGATCACACAATCATGGGGATGCTTCAAAGGTGAAGCATCAACTATGAAAAATGGTCATAAATCACTTCTTTCAGTGCCATTGAAACTTTGAACGGTCACTAAATGAACTGTTGTAAGTCAAGGACTGTCTGCACTATTGATGTTTTATTTTAAAAATGGCATTTTATAAAGAATGAACATTATTCAATAAAGCAATATTTCTAAGTCTTAATCCAAGTGACGTGAACAGGCTTTTACACACTAAGAGAACAATTGAAATAGCATTTTCTTAATGCAAGCTTCAGCAAATAAAATACAATGCCACACACCAATCAGTCACACACAGTGGACTGGAACCTTATTATCCATATTAGTTGGTAAAGAGACCAATAAATCACATTATAGATAACTGAGAGGATTTCAGCTACAGGGAGCCGCAATCAGCTCTTGCCAATGTCTACAGAAAATCCTACTTGATATTTAGCTTGCATTTACCAATCCTCAATCTTCCTGTGAGTCAGCCTTCCTACTGCCAAACAGCCTCTTAAAAAGTGAAACAAGCAAAATAGTATGTGATGTACTATGAAGGAACTGGCTGAAAGCAAAGCTACTGGCACAGCATTAATAGCTGCAGCAGGCTCATAATACAAAGATGTGAAATCTAAGGGGAGAAAGTGGGGGAGAAAAAAGGAATCTTTAATGGCTGGCTGCTTCTCTGGTAGGGCCTTCAGGCTCTTTTATGATCCACTGTTTATGATCCAAACTAGCTTTCACCGTGCGGCTCTGGTTATGGAGAGTTATGATTATGGTTGTAGTTAGGGAGTGTTATTAACTCTCTCCATCAAACAGGCAATGGGCATTGTGTCACCTTCGAAACGGTTCAGGCCTGATGCAGCCATCTTTCCGTTTCTCAGATTGCCACATAGTGTGGGAGAGGGAGGCGTCTGGAATGTCAGCCCAGATGACAACAGACCATCTTGTGGGAACCAAGGTCATCTCAACAGGTGCTAGCCAAAAACTGAGGGGAGTTGCCAAGGAAATGCCAGAACACCTAATTGGACAATGTGAGCTGTCACCATGAGGGAGGGAATTATCTTTTCTTTAATTAGACTGAAACCATGGGAAATATTTAGAGCCGGTTTTATTTTCATTCGTGCTGAAATGATGTTCTCAATAAAACAGCTCTCTGAGAAAGCTGAAGGACTCGGAGTGCTTGAATGGTTTGGATTCATTACTTGGAACCTTGACACATTGCTCACTTATAATATATACGTATGTTTATATCTGCATTTTTAATTAATCTGCTACTTAACACTTTAAAAATATCTATCCTGCTTTAAAACAGTAAATAAATAAATTTTATACATATCCTCTTGATAGACAAGTAGTCCTTGACTTATGACTGGCCATTTAATGACTGTTTAAATTATGATGCCTCCGAAAAGGTATTTTAGGGTTCATAAACCATGTCTGGCTATTGTAAAACCTTGCACCGCCCCCCACTGTGGTCACATGACTGAATTTTGGGCACTTGGCAACTGGCTCACATTTACAACCAGTTGCAGCACCTCAGAGTTATGTGATTATGATTTGCAATATTTTTTTTACTGATATTTAGGTTTCTTTCCATTTAGGAAAATAGATTACTTAATCACCTCATAATTTGCTTAATGACTGCCATAAAAATGCTTGAAAAACCAGGTATGGTTTTGACTTATGACTGCAGCAATTTATGAACACAACTTATGACCAAAATTATGTTCAGGACTACCTGTACATCTATTCTGATAATATTCCTTGCTTTAGATAATGGAAGTACAGTACTTACAACAGTTCATTTAATGACTGTTCGAAGTTAGAACAGCACTTTAAAAAGTGAGTTATGACCATTTTTCACACTTACGACTATTGCAGCATCCTTGTGGTCATGTGATCAAAATTCACAATAAGGCAAATTTCTGATGTAGTTTCTTATTAAAGTCTGCATTATGGATGTTAGCATCAGGAGTCTTTTCCAAAGTATAGAGATTGGCATAATTACCCTCCAGTTACCTTTTTATATTTGGGGGAAGTATTGGAGAGTGTAGTAGTTTATCAGTTCTAAGCATTATTCTGTGTCTTTTTATTTTTTTTTAATTATTCAGTGTTTGACCTCATTTTAGACTGAAATAGCCTTAGTTTCCATGTTAGATGAGTTACAGTAAAAGATAGGTAGGAAAATGCTCATTTGGCACTTTAGCTTTCATTCTTGTATCAGTGTCAGAGGGTGTGGGGGAGGGGTGGGGAGGGAGGGAGAGGGAGGGAGGGAGGGGGAGAGAGAGCGCGCACATCTTTCACCGACTCTTAACTCCTGGCTTTGCCTGGTCTAATCCATGCAACTTTCTTAGCAATATCTTTGAAATGGTTTGCCATTGCCTTCTTCTTAGAGCTGAGACTGAGTGACTGGCCTAAGGTCACCCAACCCAGGTGGCTTTAGTGCTTAAAGCAGACCTCAGTCTCTCAGCTTCTAATCCAGCACCTTTACTACATCAAACAGGCTCTCTGTTACTCATATGCCTGCCAGTAAAAGTGATAGATTGGCAAAATACTTTTCAGCATTGATTCTCTCCTAGTGAAACTGCTTCAGTTGATTGCGGCTTTGCTCCGCATTAGGAAGGCTTCTCACTGGGTGGTCGAATGCATCAAGAAAGACACCAACGCAGGTTCTATCTTGGGTGAGCTGCCCCTATCATAAGCTCGGAGAAGCTCTTTTATTAAAAACACACAGTGATACGTCACAAGCAGTGAAGTCTATCCAATCATTAAGTTACATGAGTAGGAATATTAGTGCACACATAGTAACATCCAATCACAGTTACATGGTCAGTTTAAAAGGTACTAAGTAGCAAATCAGCGCTAACATTCCAGTTATTTGCCCATGATGACGTGTTTGTTGATTGATGTTCTCTGTTCCTGGTACGCGCTTTCAACCTATGTGAGGCCTAGCCTGTACCGAAACTGTAGAAACTAATTTATTACTGCAGTTGATCTCTCTCAAACCTGAATCTAAATATTCATCTTGACTTATAAGTGAATTATAATTCCCTTGTTACATAGGGCTAAGTGTTACTTTTTAAATTTATCATTACTTTTTATTTACTTATGCTTCCTGGCACACTGTCTAAAAAGGCACTTTATAAATATGCCATATTCAAAATAAAACAGCAACGTGAGCTTTTATGTGCTACTACACTGCTCAAAAAAATAAAGGGAACACAAAAATAAGACACCCTAGATCTGAATGAATGAAATATTCTTATTAAATACTTTGTTCATTACATAGTTGAATGTGCTGACAACAAAATCACACAAAAATTATCAATGGAAATCAAATTTAGCAACCCATGGAGGTCTGGATTTGGAGTTACAGTCAAAATTTAAGTGGAAAAAAACACCACAGGCTGATCCAACTTTGATGTAATGTCCTTAAAACAAGTCAAAATGAGGCTCAGTAGTGAGTGTGGCCTCCACGTGCCTGTATGACCTCCCTACAACACCTGGGCATGCTCCTGATGAGGTGGCAGATGGTCTCCTGAGGGATCTCCTCCCACACCTGGACTAAAGCATCCCCCAACTCCTGGACAGTCTGTGGTGCAACGTGGCGTTAGTGGGTGGAGCAAGACATGATGTCCCAGATGTGCTCAATTGGATTCAGGTCTGGGGAACGGGCGGGCCAGTCCATAGCATCAATGCCTTCGTCTTGCAGGAACTGCTGACACACTCCAGCCACATGAGGTCTACCATTGTCTTGCATTAGGAGGAACCCAGGGCCAACCGCACCAGCATATGGTCTCACAAGGGATCTGAGGATCTCATCTCGGTACTTAATGGCAGTCAGGCTACCTCTGGCAAGCACATGGAGGGCTGTGCGGCCCCCTAAAGAAATGCCACCCCACACCATTACTGGCCCACTGCCAAACCGGTCATGCTGGAGGATGTTGCAGGCAGCAAAACGTTCTCCACGGCGTCTCCAGACCCTGTCACGTCTGTCACATGTGCTCAGTGTGAACCTGCTTTCATCTGTGAAGAGCACAGGGCGCCAGTGGCAAATTTGCCAATCTTGGTGTTCTCTGGCAAATGCCAAACGTCCTGCACGGTGTTGGGCTGTAAGCACAACCCCCACCTGTGGACGTCGGGCCCTCATACCACCCTCATGGAGTCTGTTTCTGACCGTTTGAGCAGCCACATGCACATTTGTGGCCCGCTGGAGGTCATTTTGCAGAGCTCTGGCAGTGCTCCTCCTGTCCCTCCTTGCACAAAGGCGGAGGTAGCAGTCCTGATGCTGGGTTGTTGCCCTGCTACGGCCTCCTCCACATCTCCTGATATACTGGCCTGTCTCCTGGTAGCGCCTCCATGCTCTGGACACTACGCTGACAGACACAGCAAACCTTCTTGCCACAGCTCGCATTGATGTGCCATCCTGGATGAGCTGCACTACCTGAGCCACTTGTGTGGGTTGTAGACTCCGTCTCATGCTACCACTAGAGTGACAGCACCGCCAGCATTCAAAAGTGACCAAACCATCACCCAGAAAGCATAGGAACTGAGAAGTGGTCTGTGGTCACCACCTGCAGAACCACTCCTTTATTGGGGATGTCTTGCTAACTGCCTATGCTTTCCACCTCTTGTCTATTCCATTTGCACAACAGCATGTGAAATTGATTGTCAATCAGTGTTGCTACCTAAGTGGACAGTTTGATTTCACAGAAGTGTGATTGACTTAGAGTTACATTGTGTTGTTTAAGTGTTCCCTTTATTTTTTTGAGCAGTGTATTTATTCAAAATAAACTCTCCTTCAAATTTGACTCCTAGTCACCTAGTTAATGTATCTGTGCAGCTTTCTTGGCGGCAGTTCTGAAATGGCTCACTATTCCCTTCTTTGGGATTGTTTTCAACTTCCCAATCTGTAATTCTTTACAGGAATCCCATCTATATTAAATATCCTTTATTTCTGCTGATCACACAACAACAACAACAATGCAGGTGGTTCCAGTGGTAATTGGCCCACTGGGTGCTGTGCCTAAAGACCTAGGCAAGCACTTAAAAACAATTGGCGCTGACAAGATCACCATTGGTCAGATGCAGAAGGCCACCTTACTGGGATCTGCTCACATAATCCGCCGATACATCACGCAGTCCTAAACACTTGGGAAGTGTTCAACTAGTGATTTGTGATACGAAACCCAGCATGGTTATCTCGTTTGCTGTGTATACTGTCATTTTTGTGTATAGTAATAGTAATAGTAATAGTAATAGTAATAGTAATAGTAATAATAATAATAATAATAATAATAATAATAATAATAATAATAATA